CAAGAAATACTTTATTGAAATGATCCATTTTAGTGCTGAGCTCAGTTCAAGAACCAAAGCAGATTTCAATAAGCTTTCGGATGAATTCATCAAGGTAACTCCTGCTTTACCACATACTCTGGTCAGTGAAGGCCATAATATTTATATGTCTCCTTAAATCCCCTGACTTTAATTACCTCACAATTTCACTTTAGTGCCAAACTGGTTCAGGAGGAATAACATCACTCTCAATGAATGGTTAGGAAATAGTAAGAGGAAAAAAAAAAAAAAGTCTTCAAATTCTCTATCCATTAAAGGGAATACTTTTCTGGTAAGCTCTATATTAGAGAAAGGCTATTATAAAGAAAGTTGGGAGCCCAACTTGGGTAAATCGACTCACCAAAAGAAAATTAAAGGCACATTAATGACTCTCTCCCCATAGACACAGTTCACAATTAAGAAGTCTGGTAACTCCGACACAGTTTAGTTTTGAAAGTAACTTGTTCATTTAATTGAAGGTGGTTTGTGTTTTTACCCTGGATTCATTATTGAGGTTTACCCTTGCACTAAATTTTAAGTAGGGGAAGGGATTTAACAATATGAACTCACAAACTTCACTTTTAAATGTTGGATAACTTTCTGCATAGACTTATGTTAACTTGACACCTCTTTCCTTTGGTCACTTCACTCTTGAAAGCAGCAGCTAAGTAAGATTGAAAATGATTATCTGAGATCAGTCAATGAGAGAGGAGTATAAAATGGTGGGGATGGGGTTGGCATAAGAGAACCTAGGTATTTATCAGTAATACAGGCTTTCAACACAGATTTTGCTCTGTCACCTCCAAATCTCACTTCACTAGGTCAATAAGTTTCTCTCAATGCAGATATGAGGTTGTTAATAATGATATGAAACACATTTACCCTACTCATAGGATCATAAATGTGGAATAAACATTCAAAATCCCACCTCAGGAGTTTAATCTTCACAGCATTTCTTACTTCAGGGAAAAGTAGTATAATGCAAGGTCTACAGAAAGAAAGCATCAAAGTAACACTTATAAGATCAGTTACCTATTCCATCAGGGAAAGTCAAAATATTTATGTGTCTCCCTAAGTCCCTTGACCTTAATTATCTCACAAATTCATTTTAGCACCAAATTGTTATCTGATCCTAAACATGTCTCAGTTTCTGGATTTGCATGCCAATATACAAGGTATTTACAAGAAAAATGTTTAAGACCCACTGAAGTAAAAAATCCAACGACTGTCTCACCCAGAAAGATAGAAAATGAGCCCATTTTAAGTGAAACTACCATGATCATCATCCAGCTAAGTTCCATGAGGGCAGAGCTTTGTTTACATCACTGCCAAAAATGGTGCCTGGACCACAGTAGGTGCTCAGTAAATAATGCTGAATAAATGATCCATGACAGACCCTGCAGGGCAGCAGAAAACGAAGAAACGAGCAAGAATTTGAGGCAAAAACTGTCTTCAGTGCTATTGGGATCACTGTTATTTAAATATTAAATCAATCAAGTATATATATAAAATGACTATGATATATAGGCATACCTACATATATGAGTTCTGAAGATAAAATTTCATGTAGAATTCACTGAGCTTTCTAATGTGAAAGGGAAAGTGTGTCCATGTGGGAATGAATTTGATATAATGAAGAGGGTGGGGGGAAGGAATGCTTACATAAAAAACATTTCTCACGTCACATGGAGTGAGTAAAAGGTAGTAGTAACTGAAATTTCATCTAATTCTAGAGTTTATAAACTAAGTCAGATTTTTCATTGTACTTCCTACCTATAAGCCAATCATCAAGTCACATAGAAAAACAGGCAATTAAATAAATGACTTGCAGTAGGATTTTTCCCTAGATTGGAATTTTTCCCTGCGTTTGGTAACTTCTGAAAACATTTTACCTGATGGTATTTAGCCAGTTTTTTGTCAGCCTAATGTCATTCACGCAATGCAAGTACATACTAGCAAACAGCCTTGAAGTTCAATCAAAAAAAAAAAAAAAAGAAAGAAATTCCCACACAAACTCATTTCCTTGCCACACACTGCTGGTTCACCATTTTCACAATGTGTCCTGGTGTTAGGAAACCCATACAAAAATAATAATATTCATAATATTAAACTACCAATAATAATGCTGCTGCATGCCATGCACTGAATGGCCACTGTGTACCAGGCACCTGACAACCAATATGAGAGTAAGGTGCTGCCATTACTATTACTTCTCCCTTTTGGAGATGAGAAAACAGACCCACATAAATAAAATAACTTGTCCAGGACCAAGTGAGCGAAGGAGCCAGGATTTAAACACTGTCTGCAGATATCTTAAGCAATAAGATAGCATCGGCTCTTTGAACTTTTTTTGCTTTACTTGATCACCTTCTACCAAAAGCACAATCATAGTTTTCAAAAACATTTTTTAATACAAATCAAATTTATACTCAAATATATGACATGTTTCCTCTCCAAAGAGGGAAAGTATATAACTTTTCTCTCCAAGGATGCATAATGGTCCTTTCTGCCCACAAACAGGTTAATTTAGTAAGAATCTGACCCAGTTATTTATGTCTATTGTCTATTAAGCAGTGGAAATATTATATAATGGTGGGCTACAGCATTCCCTCCCAACTCCACGCTCAGTGACATCACATTTGTAGCTTGAAATTGGCCATGACAGGAGAATTTGCACAGAAATTGGCAAACACTTCAAGTCAGGATTTCCTTTCTTTACAAGCCAGGTATTAAACATTTACCACCATACCACTGGTATTCATATTTTATTTTAACCCTTTATGCTACAGCATCTTTCATCTCTACTCACTACAAGTTATCTACATATATACATATGTCCATCACATTTAAAATAAAAATGGAAACAAAAACCTAAACCCCTCCAGTTAATATCCTTTCCCCCCATTCTTCATTGCCAAATTTACTAAAAATGTTCTATATGCTTAATTCCAACTCTTTCTTATAATCTCATTTATTTATTCATTTTACATATAGTTGAGCAACTATTCTTGATAAAAGGAATCAAGGACATAAAAATGTGAGCAAAAACAAACATGGCCCCTGCCATCGTGGAATTTACATTGCAGTCTGACTTCTGTTCCACCTTGAAAGTCTACAATGTTCTTTTAATGCTTTTTTCTTCCTCTTTTACCTCCTTAAAAACAATTTACATACAAATTTTCCAAATGTTTCATCTTATTTTCCTCCACAGCCTTCCAAAAAAAAAGTCAAGATTGCTTTAATGTTTTGACTATTTCTCTTTTTCCTCAGGAATTTCATGCATTACTGTTATTTTATCCTCCTCCTAATCCTCAGAAAACCCATGTCTCCCCCTCTTCCATATCAGTAACTGACACCACAGTCCACCCAACTGTTTAAGCCAGAAAACCAAAAATACTTGTTTCCTTCCTTTTCCTCAGTCACGCTCCAAATATCAGCAAGCTCTACTGAATTTATATCTAAAAGATATCCCAAATCTAATGCATCTCTCCATCCCAATCTCCATCACCTTGGCCAAGACTTTCTCTTTCATTCAGTCTGAATAAAAGCCTCTTAGCCTATCTCCTTGCTGTTATCTTGCTCTCTAACATCATGTACCATGAAGAATCCAGAGCGAGCATTTTAATGTAATCATTTCTCTCCACATTAAATAGCCTATCTCCCTGCTGTTATCTTGCTCTCCAACATCATGTACCATGAAGAATCCAGAGTGAGCATTTTAATGTAATCATTTCTCTCCACATTAAAAAAAAAAAAAAAAAAGCCTCCAAAATCTTTCCATACTACTTGGAATAAAATTGAAACTTGCTTCCATGGCTAACATGGCCCTTCATCTGGGCCCTGCCCACTTCCTGAGCTCATCCCGTCCAATCCCTACTTGCTCATTATGCCAACTCTGTCCAGATCTTTATAAATTTTTGCAGGGCTAGCTCCTCTTCTCATTCAGGAGGATTCGGGAGGCTTTCTCTGACCAATCAATGCAAATTTTCCCTGGCCAGGTCGCTCTGTCACTTTCCACCACATTGGTCATTCATTGTTGGTTATTCAGTATCTATCTTCCTCCATCAGAAAGGAAGCTATGCAAGAGCAAAGACCTTGTCTTTCTTATTCATCAGGATGTCTCTGGTAGCTAGAACAGTGCCTAGCACATGGTAGACACTCAATAGATATTTGTTGATGAAAAAATGAATAGAATAAGATTTAAAAAAAAAAAACAGTAAAAGGGAGGAATAATGAGAAACAAAGAACCTGAGAAGAGGAATTTTTCTGGAACTGCATGGAAAAATAAGAACAGCAATCTGAAGTGGTAAAGTGCTAATGTTATAAATCAAATTTCCGTCTTTATTAAATTCTGACTTGCCCATGGCTTTGTCTATTTTAGAGGCAACCTAATTTAGTGAAAACCTGTTCTGATAAATGTATCTTAATTTTCGTGGCTAGGTCAAAATATTTTTAAAAAGAAAGAAAAACCTTAAAATTTAAAGATTTTCCTACATCCTCAAAAACATTTCTGAGAGACAGAGTCCCCTGGGCTTCCTCCCATACTTGTGCTGTAATAAATTCCTATCACACACACAGAGCAGGAAAAGATAGAGAAAGGGGAAGGTAGAGTGCTCTCCTCCCCCAGAAAACCAAGAGCGCTGATTTTCCAATGCCCTGTTCTTCCATCAGGGAAGCAAGAAAACCTTAATTGAAGCTTCACAGACCCAGACCTCACACTCTGCTTCCAAGTAACAGCGAATAGCAGGGCTATTTGTGAATAGCAATAGCTACTCCTTTCTTATCTAATCTAATACAGGAAAGAAAAGGAAGAAGAGAAGGGAAGAAAGGAGGAACAAAGGGAAGGAAAGAAGGGAGAGAGAGAAACAAAGAGAGACGGGGTGGTCACATAGAATGGCCTCGGCGCTTCAGTTTTCCTGTCATGCCACATAGGTGATGCTGGATGGTGAAAACACTCGTGACCCAGGAGCCCAGCCCAGTACCTCATCAGGGACCACACAGCTCGAGGAGACACCGGGAATCCACTGCTCTTGGGCTGCGGTGGCAATGGGGAGTGGCAGCCACTCCAAGATCCTTTGTGAGGAAACCGTTGCTGCTTCCCATTCTCCCGAAGAGAGTGCGCTGGCAGTGAGGTGGGCTGGGGGCTCCCAGGCTGCGGTGGGCTGCACTGATGGACGACCCCATTGTTCCTAAGCAGAGTTGAACAGAATGACAAGGCTTGCAACAAGAAACAGCGATCCCCTGTCCCATCCCAAAGTCCTGCTCTTGGAAATAACCATTCTCAAGCCTTTCATCTACTGTTTCTGGTATGGATCAATGTATTTTTAAAATAACATAATTACAATATTTTTTTTTCAATTTTAGAACTTATCTTGACTTTCTAATATAGAAAACTAGGACTCAGTCCTTCTTACATGGTCACCAACACACACACACACACACACACGCACTCACACGCCCTCTCTTCACTCTCCATACTCCAAATATATGTGTCTCATAATGTTTAACTGAAGTGGTATTCAGTATTTAAATAATTATGATCTTGTAAAATACTGTTCATAGCTGACCCATCCAATGTACTCCGATTACATTTTTCTTTCATAAATCCTCAGAGATATAATTCATAGCCACTGGATAGCCCAAAGTTAAAAAGTCTAATCATATCAACAATAGTGAGAATGTGGAGCAAAAGGATTCTGAGACACTGCTACAATCATTTCAAGAGTTATGTCTCAGCATGTTACACAGTGAATATGTGACTATCTATGGTCCCAGAAACCCCATTCCTATAGTTAAATCCCAGAGAAACCCACATATATTTTCACAAGAAAATTCATTTCAGCATACTTTATAACAACAAAAATTGTGGAAATAATCTAAATTCCAAATCTAGAAAATTAAATAAATGAATTATGATAATTAAATGCTGTACATCAGTTAAAATAAATGAATTATAGCTAAATGTGTCAATAATGATGTATCTCAAAAGCCCTATGTTAAATTAAAAGAAAAGCAAGTGATACCATTTATACTGTTTCAAAATATGTTAAATGATACTATTTTGTATTTGCTGGTGTAGTATGACGAATACATATGAAGTAACAGCATAAAAATAATCATAGAAATGAAAAGTCCCAAATTCAAGATTGTGGTTACTTCTAGGGAGAGTGAGTGGTTAGGAAATGGGGTCAGAAAATGTCATTCTCTGAATGTTGGAAATTATATTCTAATTTTAAAAAACGAAAGAAAAATAATGTAACTTTCAGGAGCTCATCTTTCACTAAAAATGTTTCTTCTTAAAGGTGACATTAAATAAAAGATATCCCACTCCATTCGTGTGACTCAATCTTAAAATTTAGGAATAAATTGTTCTTTATGTAGGAAAGTACTTGCAACTTTTGTTTCTGTTCTTTCCTGCTGCCTGAATCATACGAGACCTCAAGAACAACCTAGTGACCATGTTTATTCTAAATTAGCAGATAAAGTGGGAGTGGATCCCTGTTTGCGCAAAACTCTGTAGGTGTTCATTATTTTGGGAGAAGGGGACACATTTCTGTGAGATTCTCAGCAAGGTCATGACCCCTGATACACTCAGAACCTCTGAGCTGGTCTCATGATACAAATGTGAGCCCACGACATGAGCAGCAGATGTTCTGGAAGGCTTCCAGTTCCCTGTCCTGTGCTCCTTCCATGGAGGAGGGGTGCTCAGAAGTAACCCTGTGACTCTGGAGTCACCGGGCAGGGGTCCTAATCCTGGCTCCACTCAGCATCAGGTGACTCTGGAAAGGTTACTTTCTGTGCCTTTTTCTCCTCTGTAAAATGAGGGTAACAATTATTGTGAGCATTAAGTGACTTTATACCTATAAATGGCCAGGCATTCCCGGTGCCTGTCACATGGCCAGAACTAAAAATATCATGAGCCAGGTCTCCCTGTTAGATGCTCTGGATTCTTTCTTAGCATTTTCACAGCTTTATCAGTTACTCATGTAATTGCTTATGTAATGTCTGTCCCCCCCAATATTGTGCATGCTCCTGAGGGAAGGAATCTTATCTCTTGTTCTTGGCCAAGTACAGAATGAGTATGTGTTGAATGGGTGGATAAAGGATAAAGGAAAGAATGATGTTTCCACTTATGCAGAGCTGCTGGTTGTGAAAGCTAAACGTTACAAAAAAAAAAAAAAGTACATGTTATAAGCTGTGCAACTTCTAAACTACATATCAGCAAAATCATTCCTTCCTTATTCCTTCTATAGAACTTCTAGCAGTATAGTATGATGAAGGTCAGGAAAGATTATTAAAGAAATAAAAGAGACTATTATCCCCTTTGAAAAAAGCCTGGCTCAACAGTAACTGAATGAAGAAGAACGGAGTGTAGGCAACGGTGGGCTGGGGAGTCCCAAGACCAAAGGAGACATGACTTCAATCATGAGGTTAAAATAGCCTGAGTGGGACCAAAGGACAGGGTCTACAGTCAGGTGTCACGTCCTTCTGCTGTCAGTGAGGCAAATCAGAAAGACACTAGGAAGCCGAGACAAAAAAGATGCAAGAAGAAAGTGAAAAAATGGGAAGCAAGAGGGGTTTATAGGTTGGTTGTTTTCCAAAAACAAAATAAATAAATAAGGTGAGCAATGCAATTACTCCCATCAGTTGAGAGGATGTAGAGAAAAAAGACACTCTCATATAAGCCAAGGGGAGGTCTTCTAGCTCATGGCTTTCTTGGCATGAGCTTGGGTCAGAATGATAACTGGATTCTTTCCCTTTACACGCCTGAGATTTACAGCGAGCCAACAGAGCACTAAACTCTATTTAAATGATCTCCAAGTACACCCAGGCAAGAAGGTGATCAGAATTTAATGATTAATCTCAGCTGGTTGCCACTCAATAATCTTGCTCTTGCCTTTATGTCAAGAAGTATAAAGAGGTAGGGCATAGAATAAAAAGGCAGGATTTTTTTAAAGATAAATTTCTTTCTCAGACAAGGTAGGAAAATAAATCAACCACATTTTTTAAAGTTCGATCAGGGCCTTATAATTACTGAAAAAATGGGGCCTGAATGTCAATTTGTGAGTTATCATGGGTTCGATAGGGGAAAAAAATTACAGCATGTGTTTGAACTTTTAATATGGCTTAGTTATTCTTATCATCTATAGTCCACATGAAAAAATGAATGTGCCTCACACTCACATTTTTTAAAATGAAAATGGGTTACTAAATAAACTTGTTCTTTAATTTGAATATGATGTGTGAGTATTCCTGTATGGTTTGGACTGGCCCGTTGTGGAATTCCAAAACGAGACTTAAGTAACAGTATCATCTGTAGAGTAAACAAGAGACTCCAACTTAGCAGTGCTCTTTGATGGATAACATTCATTTGAATGCAGAGATTCAAGGCAAGCTGTTAACAAGCCCGTTATCATTCGCAACCACTTCTCCCTGTGAATCAAGATTTCTCAGTAGTTTGCAACCAGAAAATACAGCTAATATAAACTTGCCAAAAGCATGGAACTTTTCAATTCCAAATTTGGGGCTCACAAAAACTTTTGGCCTCCACTGATTTTTCTTAAAGTGTGAAGAGTTTGAACATATATAATAGATTTATCTTAATGAAAGAAGCCTTGTTTATTATATTATGGTCTAAGGTCTAAGGTCAAGACGTTATCCTTTTTTAATGAAAGTTTGGAAACTACTGATTTAAATAATTTTTCTCTGCACATGCAATGCTTGACACCAAACATTCAAAGGACTCACAATTTCTCTTGCTTGTGAGATAAGGAAAAGAGATCATAAACCAAGCAGACTCCAAACACCGTGATGCCCGTCTCCTTCACCAGCATTGCGCAGGTCCCCAGGAACAAACTGAGCAGCAAGAAGAAGGGAGAAGCTGTGGGAGGAAAACACTCCCCAACACAACACTGGTCCACACTCCTGAAAAACAAGTCAAGATTCTTTTAATCTAAGAAAGGTGGGTCACCAAGAAATATCACCTTTTAACAACAATTTCGCTGTATTCTAAATGAAAATGGGCTACTAAATAAACTTGTTCTAACATCAATTTTATTTTATTCTAAGTAAGCAGGTGAGAAAAAATTTCTCAAAGAATAGAATTATTTAAAATTGCAAAGATGGAAAAAAGTAAATGCCTGAGACTAAATTTAATACTTGAATTGAAGTATATAAAAATTATAGCAAAATATGGCATATAACGAATGAACACTGAAAGCCATTTAAAATGCCACTGTAGAGATATATTTGGTGACATGGAGAGATGTTTAAATGAATATATTTTAAGTGAGTAATACAGGTTACTAAGCCATATGCATGAACTCCAGAGCCCGGTCTCCAGGATTCAAATCATAGCTCTACAATTAACGAACAGGGTAATAAATGGTAGCTTATTTTGCCCCTCTGTGCCCCTTATCCGTGCAATGGGATCACAGTGTTAAAGGGAGGATTCAATAAGTGACTTAATATATGTCAAGTGTTTATCATCATTATCATTATTATTTTAGTGAAGGTGTCTGATATGCTTTTATCCCCAAAACAATCAGTGGGGATATATGTATAAACACACCAAAACATAATCATCACTTCTCTTTGCGATGAAAATACAGATGCTTTAGTCTTTTTCTTTTCTTCTGGCTAATTCGTATTTTTAAATTTCTTTTCCATGAGGATGTATTAGGTAAAGTTTGTTTTTTCTCAGTATAATTTCCAGCAGGGATTTTCAAGAACCTTCCATCACTATAAAGCCTTTTTTCACTACACAGCGGAAGGAGCCCCACACCAAGAAACATCACTGTTTCTTCAGCAGGTGCCACACCCATCTGCACTTACTCTTGTGAAATAGAGGCCAATATTTCTGTATTTGTTACATCATCTTACCCTTACTGTTATGTCTTGGAACAAGTAAATAAAATTATATGCCAAACTTGAAGTAGATATGCATTCTTCTCCAAAGCTGGTCTATAGCTTAAATTGCTAAAAGTGAGAATGGTATGCAACAACAAAACCTCTAATACTATTATCATATAGATATGAATACACCGCAGGCCTAATCATGTTCCCAAATATATCAAACACACAGGAAAAACCTAAGAGAGCAAGTTTAAACTAAATTCTGCTCTAACACTAAACAGGAAACAATTGTTCGATCTAGGCTTCTATTTTTTAGCTTTTCACAACACCTTTTTATGTGACTAGCAATGCAGTGAAAGGTCACAAAGCCAAGACTAGAAAAAAAAAAATGGTACTAATAAGAGGCTCCACTCTTTAAACTTTATAAGAATTAATTAATTTCATTCTTGATCCAAGGTCTAAATTGGGTTTCCCAATTTCAGCACTATTGGCATTTTGGGGAAGATGGTTCTTTGTTGTAAGGGCTGCCCTACACATTGCAGGATCCTTGGCCTATCCAGTTTTGACAAGCAAAAATGTTTCCAGACATTGTCAAATGTCCCCTGGGGGGCACAAATTTGCTCCATATTGAGAACCACTGGTTTCGAACAGTGTTCCTCAGAGTAACCGGGCTTTGTAAGATTACAGGTCAATAAGCTGATCCAAAGATCAAGGTTCACAAATCTTTAACCAGGCAGCCCTCCACAAAGGAGGGCGACATGGTTCACTGGCCCCCTTTCTCTGGGCCATGCTCTGAGTCATCTGCCCTATTTACATTCTCTTTTCAACCTGCCCCTTTTCCATATGTCACAGTTCAGGTAAGAACCTGGTCGCATTGCAGAGGAGAGGGGCAACATAATGGGAAATTGTTTTATTGCTTTTCAGTCTCCCAAAGCAAGGAACTTCTGTATTTTGATGAAAGACTGGGTAAATTGGAAAACCATATTTAAGAAACACTATTTTCAATTCGGTCTTATCGTTTTAAGCTCTAAGCTACTTCAATGAGGACAAGAAAGAGGAAGAAACATTAGCACCAAACTGAAAAGAAAAGAATTAAACAAATCAAAGGCAAAAAAGAGAAGGGACTACATCCAATATATTTTGGCCCAGCGCTAAGATTCCAAATTTCATTCTCAGTAAGAAACTACAAGTAAGAAGCAAGAGCTTGCCTTCTTGGTAATGGAAATGCAGTTCCTATAAATGGCTCTGACATGGTTCAGAATGTGGCTGGAAAAGAGAACAGCCTAGCACTTGGTAAGGAGAGGGTTTCCTATCCCAGGGCTCCAGGAAGTTTTGAGCATTTCACTGCCAAGAAGCCTCCTCTCTCTGGCAGATGCTCAGTCTACACACACACACACACACACACATACACACACACACACACACACACACACACACAGAGAGAGAGAGAGAGAGAGAGAGAGAGAGAGCAGAAATTCCCAGGGGACAGCATGACCGTAGTCCCACAGGATATGCTTAGCTATACATACCTATTGTAGGAGAGAAAGGCCAACAGAAACAGCAGGCATGCTAACACATCAGCTCTGCCAACAATTCCGGCCACCTAGGATGTGTGAAAAAAATTGAAAAATAAAAACCTGAGAAAATTACTTTCAGAAAACTATTACAGAAACATATTTGACTTTAGATGAATGTAAGGTATAATAAAATAGAAAATACATAGTTCTTCAAATTCTGATACATGACAAACCATCTCTGGCTATCATGGATATATCTAACAATAATTATCTAACAGAAGGATAAAAAGAAGAAGAGGCAATATTTTCATGCTTAACTTCGTTTTTAACCTTCCTTCTATAGAAGGTTAATTTGCAGCATTAAAGTTTATTCATTTATTGGTTTATTCAAAAATATTTTTTGAGTACTAAGTGCCAAACACTGTGTTAGTCTTTGGGCACCAGAGTGCTAATGAAGCAGAGGATATTTACAGAGAAAATAAGTTGAGGAATCAATAATTTTGATAAGAATGGAATGAGTATGAAATTATGATTGGTATATGTGAGTATATGTGCATGTGTGTGTGTATTTCTAAGCTCTGTCACTGAGAGGGCCGAGAAGCAAAATACCCCAGTGGCAAAGAGCCATCTTGGCACTAACTCGAGCTATTTCTCCACTAAAGAGAACACAGATTCCAGGGCTGAGGCTGAGGAGATACAAGAGGAGCTTGGATCATCTTCTCATGTTAGAAAGTAAGAAAGTCCTCAAACACTGACAGGTACATGTCAAAAAGACATAGAGGCCAATGACAAATGGCTCCCACTGATCAAATATGAGACAATTTTAACTTCAAAATAAATAAGAACATTAATAAATTATAAACCATTGAAAAATCTGACATCCATCAATGCATACCGATAATAAATATATGAATGGATGGATGGATGGATGGATGGATGGATGGGTACATGTATAAGTGTATACATACATATAGTAAGAAGTGAATAGGAAAGAATGGAGAGCTCTTCTTTACATTAAAAAGTCAGTTGAATGTAGAGGGAGTAATGCAATTGGAAAATAGCCGTTTTGCTTCCATAAGAGTAAAGACTGGATTGAGTAAAAAACCTCACAAAATATCAATGGATGCTGAATCCATTGTGAAAGTTTGATGAAGTAAAAGATATTTTCAGGGCTTCAAAATATTTCTTCACTGATTACTTATTAGCTGGAAAAATAAAAAGAATAATTATATTATGGAGAAAATGTGTTACACTGCATTACATCTTGACTGGGAAATCGAACTTAACCTCACAAATAAAAGGCAAATGAATGTGGCATGCTTCTGCGTGTGATATCCTAAGAAGGTCACAACATCACTTATGTAGTATTTCAGCCAGGAATATATAAACTGAAATATAATCATGAGAAAACATAAGACAAACTCAAAATCAGAACATTGTATTAAAATATATAAATAAATATATTTTATATCAATAAAGTATAAAATGTAGTAATTCTATATTACTATTTCATAACATTAAAATCTTATTATGCTTCAATATTTTCTAATTTATATCATGATTTACTAATTATGTCACAACTCATTATAATCTATCATAATATTGCATATAGTATATTATTATATATTACAGGTATAATGTATTATACTTACATGATATTCTATATATGCATATATTTTTCCTTTACATTTATATACTTTTATATTTTACATATTTATTATGTATTTACATATAAGTTATATTATTTTATTTATATCAAATTTTAATAAACTATAAGTATAAATCATATATTATAAATTATATAATATGTAATATGCATCATATATTTATATCATATTTATGTTATAATTATATATGGCATATATTATACCATTATTGATTGCAATATCATAAAAAATCATATTAATAACATTTTATATTATGTATATTCTAATAAATTTTTAATTATATTTAAAACTATATATTACATTATAGAGAGATGTGAAGGCTGGTAACTGTTCCAAACTTAAGAAGACTAAAGAGAAATGATGACTAATGACCTTAGTTTTAGAATAAAACTAAATTATTAAGGTATAAATGGACATAAATTATGCGACCTGCTCTCAATGCTGCAGGAAAACAAAAAATTTTTTATATATTGAGGACGAAAGAGAAGAAAAATGATAAAACGAATGTGACAAAATTTTTTAAATTGATGAATTTGGATAAAGAGTATATGGTAATTATATTTTTTAAGTTTGCTATATTTTTAATGCGTTATTCAGAAAAAGGCCAAAATTGAAGAGGCATGGGAAACAGAGGGCTATTATTTTGCTAGTTAAAATGCATGTGCATTTCTCTTAACTTTTTGAAATCTAAGAAATAAAACTGTAAAGGAATAAAACAGGGTATGTTTCAACGAATGCTTCAAAGAGGTCAAAGGCCACATATGAGCTGACTCTTAAAGATAAGGAGAATTTCCACAAGAGGAATGAACAGTTTTAGCATTTCGGGCAGAGAAAACCGCATCATCCAAATCATACAAGGACCTGAAGTCCACGGCATATTAGAGAAACAATCAATGACTAATAGCAAAAACTAGTTTCCTGGGAAATACAGCTGTAAATATTCTCATATAATGAGCACACTTTGCAGTCATAAAGGAGAGGTGATGACACACTCATAGAGCTGGACCATGCCAAGCTTGAAGACAGACTCCTCTTGCCATGTGACTGAGACTCAATTTTGTTATCTTTAATTTGATATTTGGTTTTGTTATCTTTAAAATGAGTATACACCCCCTACATCATGTACTGTTGTAATTAATGAGATGATATGTATAAAGTGCCTGCTCAACACTGGTGCCCTTCTTTCTTCCTTTTTCCTGCAGAGAAAGGGGGTCAGACTCAGCACTGAGACAGGTTGTTATACGTGACTTATGGAAATTATCTTTTTACTTTAAGGATTACATATATGATGTTTAACTTATTAGATAATCTAATATCTATTAGTTAAAATAGAAATAAAAAGTAATTCAATTATATACTTACATATGGATAGCAAGTCACGCAAGAATAAAAATTTTAGTCCAGTCTACACCAAGAGAAACCTGGACATGGCCAGATAATTTCATTGGCAGTACAGAGTTGAAAGCCATTACCTAATGTGGCTGCTTAGACTATATACTCTTCATTGATCCATTAACCTATGAAGAGCCTGAGTGCCAAATCAGGAGGACTTCATGACTCAAGGGAAATAGGCAGTGACAATATGGTTGTCACTTCAGTGTTAAGGCCAAGCTCAGACTCATAGTCTATAAAGCAACGACTGCACACAGTTCACCTGTGAAGCTCAAATCTGCTTGTTCAGTCTACACCATTATCTCTATGAGCACTGAGCTCGGTACCAACTGCAAGGCCTCCTGAGGGTTAAACAGAGAGAAAAGCTAGCCAGCAACAAAGTCTTGGGATAAGGCCAGGCCTCTAGGCCCAGAGGAACACCCGTCATAGTACAACTGGTGTGTCCCACTCAGACAACAGCAAGACCTGCAAGCTCATATTGGGCACAGCAAGCTGGAATGAGGCAGTTACAAGCTAGGCAAGCATAACTAATGCATTAAAGAAGCCTGAAGCCCTGCTTCTCGAATTGCAGCCAGTTAGTGCTGCTCAGAAATAGCAGCAGCAGCAGAATGTGCCAGGTGGATGTGCCCAAATATAAAGAATGTAGTATCCCTTGGAGCAAAAGTTAAGAGGGGATGTTAAAATATTAGTGGCTAATACTGATAGACTACTGCCAATTTCAAACCACCAAGACTTCATCAAATACCTATTCTATTTCCCTATTGAGCTGGGGTCTCTGGGGCAAGGGAGTTAGATGTTTGTCAGCAACTACTATATGTTTAGACTAGCCATTCACTGCGATTCAATTAGTATCATGTTCAGTAACTGCATGTTTTATTCCAGTCGACAAACATTTTCCAAATGCCTCCTTATTGCCAGGTATTATGCCAGCTGGAGAGATATAACCTACCTCAAGGAGTTTAACATCTGGTAAGGAGTCAAAAGAGCATATTAATATTAATAATACAGAAAACTGCATGTATCATAAAAAGGAGCAATCATTGCCCTGGGAAGACTCAAGGGATTAATTTTGACTATAGGATCTGGGAAGGCTTCATGGAAAGGCCGGCCTCAATACACTGAAACTTAAAGGACGACAGACAAGGAGGGGGAATGTGAAGCCTGGGCCAGAGAGGGAATGCAGAAGAGTTCCAGGCAGAGGAAAGAGGTCTGAAAACATATGGGGTGTTTTTGGAAGGGAAGGCCTAAAGAGATGAGAGCACTGAGTAAATGAAAAGGGGGCGGGAGTGGGCAGTGGGAAGCTAAGATGGAACGTTAAGTTGGAGCCCCTTTGGCTTGATTCTGTGACAACGTCAGCTGAACAGTAGGGTATTAGGAAGTACAAAAGGACTTGCTCAAAAATAAATGAAATGGATAGCATGTATTTCTGCCTCATGCTGCAGGTTTCCATCTCCAAGGGGATAGTTGTAACCGCAGAACTGTATCTTTAAATATTCAAACAATGGAAAAACATCAGTGAATTGAGTAGAATTTAAATAATGTAACATTCAGATCTCTGAGCAAGCTTAACAGAATCACATGTGGATATTGCCAATTAAGGAATTAATTTGCTCCCAAAACGTATTACTTCTTAGGATAACACTCATAGGATTTATATAAAGTATACTATATGTATAGTTATTAATCATTTTATCTGCAAGGATGAGTTCTATTAGTGTCAGACAGAGCCAGGAACATACACTTAATACATGGCAACAGCTGAAGTCTGGGCTGACTGATTAGATCATTACCATTCTCTCCTATGTGCTCTTGTCCCAGCTCTGGAAACGTTGACCTTAACTTTCAACTCCATGTGTCAGCATTTCCTACTCTTGCTTTTGACTTAAGTGCATTCCTTCAGAACCAGTAATGTCTTTAGGATGATTAAGTTTTAATTCTCATAGGAGAATTACAATATTTTTCCCAATTTCTCTACTGATTTTTCTCATGATTCAGATTCAGAAAAACATATAAATTTCCCAAGAAATATACTGTCAAGAAACCCTTCCAAGAATTACAGGCCTTAAATGAAGAAAGGTCTGGGTCTACCTGATTCATTGCTATATGCCTGCACAGAGGACTACATTACAGTCTCACAAATATTTGTTGCAATATCGAGTAAATAAGTGAATGTGTTCCTGTCTACTTAAATTAAATTGGAAATATTTTTTCCCTTTGCTGGGATTCTTGTTTTATTACAACATATTATATTGTCTTCTATGTATTTTCGTGTAGGTGCTTTAGCTTTTCTAAGAGACCGTGAACCAATTGTAAGTAGGGAACCTGTTATCTACCCACATACCCCCTGGGCACCCAGCAGAATACCTGCAACAAGTAAGTACTCGTTAACTATTTGCTGATTACATAATGAATAAAGCAAATCCTTAATCATATCAAAATGTTTAACCTAAAACCCTTCCACTCCATAATTTAAATCTTCCATTCTTCCTGAGATAACTTATGTTCCCATTTTTGTTTTTGTTTAACAAAGGGGAGCTATATCCCTCATGAACTCTCCCCCCGCCACCACTATGGTTCATTTTATTTTTTTAAATAATTTATCACTATGTCTTCTATAAAGCACATCTTTTTTCTATTTCTCTGTCCTCCTCCTTAGAAACCTGGACTAATATCTATAATTAAAAAATAGTCTCTTGATTTTACTTCCTAGTATTGATTGTCAATGTAGGTTAAATTTCTTTGCCTCTTTTTTACCTCTCTCATCTCTTTGTGAATGCAAATTGTTTCTCTAACACTTTTCCCTAAATAAGTGTCCAACCCTTAGACTCCTTTACTGCTGTAACTGTGTTAGCATGGATTATTTTTTTATCAGTACAAAAGTTTGCTGAAACTCTTTTTGAAAGGCCGTTTTGCTAATAGAATTTTCCTTTTTTATTTAGAATTCAACCTAACTTTATCAGCTCTTGATCACACTACCAAAGGTTACCTGCATTTTATGTTCTCCCACTCTGCAAGGAGAGAATTAAGACTGTTTTTGTTCCATGCATTTGTTCTTTCCTGCAAAAATCTTCCCCAAGACATTCTTATCACAGATTTTCAACTGTACTTTAAAAATTATTTGTCAGAAATGTAACAGTGTCTATGGGCTTAGATTTTAAAACTGCCTTTGACCCAGCATCATATATTCTACATGGCTAGTAGTAGCCTTTTATTAGTATTTCTCTTCACATTACATCCAAAAAGAATATTAAAAACATGTATCTCTCTCATCTTTTAAAATTAATACCTAAAATTTTTCATCATAACTTTAAATACTTGAAAGAATCTACCCCCCTACGCACTGTAAATATTGACATTTTAAAATAAGGCTTGATGTTACTGTTTTAAATTTACCAAACGGAATCTGAAATGTACCATAGCAATTTGAAGCTCATCATTTACCATTTATACAACATGAACAAGATCTTCTTTAAATGGTAGACATTTACACCCTTTCCCCTGAACTCATATTTCCATTTTATTTCCCCCTCATCATTTCTTCTTAATGTATTATATACTTATGCTTCAAACTATTTTATTGCCTCTCTCTATAATATAATACATATATAATTACATTTATTTTTTTAAATTTCTTGTGACCATAAATTTCTGTTAATTTTTAAAATTTGTATTATTTTATTAGCATTAATGTGCAATTATTCAATTCATCATAAACAAATTAGAAAAAAACTGATAAATAATCATCAAATATAAAAATATATCTCTAAGTAACAGATATAGCAGCTTCCTTTTCAATAAATTTAGTGGTCTATGGTTGACTATTACCTTTGTTAGAATAAGAAAGCATGCAACACCAATTCTATTCCTAGCTTTCATCTTTATAGACTGTTCACAGAAACGAAAACAGAACTAGCCGTAATAGCTGTGACTTCATTCTTTGAACACAAAGAATGTGATCTATTATCTGCAAAATCATAGTGATCTATTATCTTACATATCATTTAATGACCTACCAGCTAACGATTCAATCAAGTCCTCCTTTAATTTGGTTGAAAGCAAATAATTTAAGCATACCCATCACTGGAGTTACCTGTCAACAGAGTCATTCACTTTCACAATCTCTTAGAAGTACAGGAAAAAGGCTTTACCAAGACTTTCCAAAAGAACTGTTACTTATACCACACAGCCTTTCACTTAAAGGCAACTTGTTCAGTCTAAGATCCTCAGAAAGAGCTGGGAAAATAATCTTTAATAATGTAATTTTTTAATAAAGTGAATTTTTTCTTAATCACTTCTAATAAATACAATTTTGTCAAAATGTTAGGTTTAAGATTTAGAAATTTGTTTGTGGAAAATGTCCATATTATAGCCTAACTGGCAAAACCAGTCCTTATTATCAAACCAAATAGCCAAATCAGACTTTTTGTGTCAGTTCAAATGAATATATTATTATGCATCCCCATGATAACCATCTCACTTCTGAATTCAGAACTCAATACAGGATACCATACCCTACTTCCTATGCCATGCTCCATGCTTCACCGAAATTTGTATAAGACAGAAAGACATGTAGCCCTACTTTGGGTTTATTACACGTTAATTGAAGGAGGCTTTGCTGACACCAAGACATTAAATTGTCTCTCTGAGCCTTGGAGGTTTGTATGCCTGGGGCATAGTAAGTTTCTGATATATGAGAGACCTTCCTCCCTCCCTCCCTCCCTCTCTCCCTCTCCTCCTCCTCTTCCTCTTCCTCTTCCTCCTCCTCCTCCTCCTCCTCCTCCTCCTTCTTCTTCTTCTTATCTCTCTTTCTCTCTCTCTCTTTCTGTCTCTTTCTTTCTTTCTTTCTTTCTTTCTTTCTTTCTTTCTTTCTTTCTTTCTTTCTTTCTTTCTTTCTTTCTTTCTTTCTCTTTTCTTTCTTTCTTTATTGAGAGAAGGGCAATTGAAAAGAGAAAAGGGAAAAGAGAACCAATTTGACACCTTTACTCCAGGTGTGTTCTCAGACAGATTAACTTTAGGAAAATATCCAGATGCAAGCTGAGGCTCTGGAAATAATCCTTTGAAAACTGTGTTGTCCGTGAACCCCTTGGCAAGTTTTCATCTACCTCTAGCAATAGACATAAAATAAACCAACTGTGGTTACTGAGATAAGAAACAAGGTAACGTAATAATTCCATCTCTGAGCATGATTAAGTCAATATTTTAAAGAGGGCCAGATATCTAAACTATCTATTTGTCTAAATAAATTCATCATCCACAAAATAACTACACTTCCAATACCTTGGGAAATTTTTTGTTAGTCTCCTAAGTCTGTTTTCCTAACGTGAAGAATGTCAGCCTAACTTCGTGTAGTCTTCCTCCTAGCACTTATAGTTCTGTCATAAATATTATAAATATAAAGCAGAGTGAGAAAAGGTAAAATATAAATGTAGAGCAGAAACAATGACCCAGCATGATAAGTATCTCAAAAGGTCCTTTGCTGTTGAAAACATATTAGGACTTAAATTTTCTGCAAATAACAAAGTGTAGCTATTTATTCCTACCTACAATAATAACAGTGGTTAATTAGAAAAGCAGTTAAATCCTGGAGATGCAATAAGGCCATGTGAACATTAGAAAAGAAATGCTGTCAGGCAGAATGATTTGTATATAAATATAAACACTTTAGTAAAGCGTGGAATTAATATGATTTAGAAAAGGAACAATTTTGTTTAGTTTTCTTTTCTTTTTTTGGTTCATTATTTCACTGAGTTCCGAGACTCACCGCCTCAGTGTGAATAGGATGCACAGCAAAAAGCAATGCTGTAACAAAAGCAAGTCCACGATTCTTGAAGACAGTTTTGTCACAGGTATACATCAGCACAAGAGTCACCAGGCAGTGTAAAATTACATTTACTGCATGAAAGTAGAAGGGGTTCATGCCAGTCAAAAATATGTTTAACCTGTAAAAAAAAAAAAAAAAAAAAAAAGACAAAAACAAAAACAGTTACACACAGAGCATAAGCACAAGGCAATCAGAGGGAATCCATCAATAATTCAAATAATTATTTTTAATGACTTCCAACGTCAGGTTACTCTACATATTTGAATATCCCTTTTATCCTATCTCAGAATTTTCCTATCTGCGGAAATTATTGCGAATGCAATACAATACTATTTCAGAAAACTTTGTGGCCTCACCGGGAAGGCAGACAGATAGGTGCTGAACCTGTTGTCTATGGCAATTAACCGCCCCCCCCCCCACCTCACCCCTGCACTATCCTCTTGCTCCACTACCAGCTCTTCCTAAGCAGCTGAGTGTCCAAAGGCAAGTCTACGCTGGAGATGAGAAAGAAACCACAAGGCTGTGACGATGGTCACAGTTGGACAAACCAGGCATAAATGTGTTCTCTCACCCACGATGCCACCAGGAACCAAATTTCCAGATTCTGCACCCAAAATCATCAGTAATTACCACCTACACAAGGGGGCTTCAGAGCACCTACAGGCTATTAACAACTGCAGCTGAAATTAAAAAGACGAGCAGAAATATAGCATTTAAGAATTTGTATTAAATGTTTTCTAACATAAATTCCCACAGATCCTAGAATTAGAATTCTAAGATTATGATGAAGAAACTAAAAATAAAACCACAAAAGGAATTTTATTGTTCAACATCTTTTAAAAAATACTTTCCTGAGATAGAAATGCAGAACAGAGACACTTCTGAAAGTTGGTTTAAATTTAATAACAGGACATAATGTCCCGAATTGAGTCTGTGGGGTTATAGAAAATATACAGTTGTATAGAGTATGGTTCTTTGGGGAGAGCAAATATACCCTAAGTGGTATTGCCTATAGTTGTCTATACTCCAGCCAATTTCTCCAAAACAGCAATCCCACATCTTTATTTTCATGCCCTTGATCTGCTTGTTACAGAAACACTTCCTCTTTGCCAAAACAATTAAGAATGTAAAAGTCAACTTTAGCGATGACATATGCATATTCTAAATATTTGACTTGATTCATACAGAGTTTTAACTTACAGAATTTTAAACACTTTGAGCTTTATTTGGACGCATGAATCTAAATGTCATAGTTTTTATCTGACTCCACTTTCACTCCTGCCGAAGTAATCATGGTTCTAACATGGCTTAGAAAAAGGAATCGCTGGGTGGGATCCAACTGCAGATCTCTGACGCCAGCTGTGCTGGCAGACCCACAAGTCTGCACACACACCTCAGCATCCTTAAGATGGGAACTCACTCAAACAAAAAGAGGAACCGCCGGTGAACTAGGGGACTGACAATTCTAACTGAAGAAGGGAGAACAGAGTCCCATTCCAGTATAAGAGGACCCACATATGGTGATATTGCTGCTGGAAATCAGAAGCTAGGGATGGTGGAGCTGTGAGAAGGGTAAGGCCAAGTGCCCATCCTCAGAGAACCTGGGTGGGTGCATTTCGCGAAGAGTCCATCCCCCTGAGGTTGATTTTACACTTCACCAGATTGAGCTTTTCAGACCAACTAAGCCATTCAATTAAAATTCATTCAGACTGGTGATGATGAGAGAAAACAGGTCTCACAACTGGTTTGGGGGGTGAGCATACTGGAAGGTCTAGAAGTTGTCAATATGTATCAAAGGCTCTAAAAAATGCATACCTTCTGACCAAAAACTCCACTTCTAGAAATATTGCATAAAGAAATAACTGGAAAAGTATTCAAATATATATACACATATATGTGACATTGTGATATAATAAGAAATACATATTTTGGTCTTCATCCTGACTCCTGGTCAGAGATTCTAAAACCTTTGTAATTTCCTAAGAAATAAAAGTGATATTCTAATATTTGATCTTTGGCCCTGGTTCCTGACACAGAGCTCCTGAGTTCCCTGAAATTCCCTAGGTGATAAAAGTGCCTTTTGTTCTAATGAGGTGACTCTTGGTCGGTTTCTGGATAGCTTCGAGATGGGGGCTGGTCACAAGAAAGACTAAGTCATGATTAGAAGCTTGGCAATTTCAGCCCCACTCCCCATCCTCCAGGGTGGGATGAAGGGTTGGAGATTGAGTTAATTATCAATCAGGTCTACATGATGAAGCCTCCATAAAAATCTCTGAACTACAGGGTTTACACAGCTTCCAGGAAGGTGAACACATCCATGTGACAGCAGGGTGGTGTCTCCTACCTCCACGGGCAAAGAAGCTCCTGTGCCTGGGACCCTCCAGACCTTGCCTTCATCTGACTGTGTACCTGTATCCTTTATCATATCCTTTATTATATAATAAACAATAAACATAAGTGTGGGCTTCCTTGAGTTCCGTAAGCCATTATCGTGAATTACTGAACCTGAGGAGGTGTTGTATGAACCCCTGATTTATAGTCAAGTTGGCCAAAATATAGAGAACCTAGGGACCCACTACTTGTGATAGGCATCTGAAGTCGGGGCAGTCTTATGGGACTAAGCCATGAACCTGGGGGATCTGATGCTAACTCCAGGTAGACAGTGTCAGAATTAAACTGAAATGCAGGACACCAAGGTGGTGTCAGAGAATTGGTCAGTTTATTGGAATAATCTCACATATGTGGTGTCAGAAGTATTGTGAGTGAATAGAGGAAGAAACAGAAGTTTTCAATGTACAATGCATCTTGCTGTATAAATTATACAAATGACAATACAGAGAAGGTAATATATCTAATAAGTCAAATCCCTGATGTATTTGACTATTTCCACAGATATGATGCTTTAGATCATAACTTTGGATTACAAATAACAGCACTGCTTTTAAAAATGGACAAAAGACTTGTTATTTTTCTAAAGTATTTGTTATTCAACCAGTTGAAAAGTAAAAGGCATCATCAAAGATGATGTTATTACTATATCACTACATTTTTATGAGGAATTTAACACACATTCCTTTGCCCTTCTAAAAATGATATAAAATGCTAGGCATGTGTCATCTTTCTGGTCCATATGTATCATAATTGAAAATGTGCAGGTGTCATCCACATAGATTATTACTTCTGGGAATGGGTTTAGGAAAGTGAATTAAATTAAATCCTAAATTATAAAAATAAATTGCTGAATGGGGAACTACTATGGTAATAAGGTAATGGCATGAAAGCCCTTCATATGGTACCTAACATTGGTGAAGCCAAGCTTTGAGAAATCTCCTAGAATCTAGAGTTTGGAGAGTTCCCCACATGACCAAAAAAAAAGGAGAGTGAACTCTCCAAACTACAGTAAGTGATCTTGAGATGAAATGATAACAAAATTTTAGAACTATTTGTGAGCAGAAAAAAACCTCTGGTTCTGGAAGCCAATATGAGTTCACAAAAAGGAGGTTTCACTAATTAAACCTCACATTTTAATAGGACAGGGGATGTGATAGATACATCACATCTTCATTTTAACAAAGGCGTTTATCAATATATCTCGGAAGCTCCTTGCATACAAGATAAAATAAGACAGATTTGTAGTAAACACAAAGGGTGGTGAATAATAAATCAATGTCTCCTTGGATAGAGATCTCCTGTGTATGTCACGGGATTCTGATATTATCTCTGGTCTGTCCAGTATTTTTATCAAAGACTTAAATGAATCTTTAGTGTATGCCCACCAAGCCTGCTGACGGCCTGTAGCTGAGAAGGAGAGTTACTGTACCGGGAAACTGATTGAGATTCACAAAGAGTTTAAATGCCTGAAATTGTTAGTTAGTTCTAACATAGAATATGGGTAAGTGTAAAGATCCACATTTGGACGTGAAAGAGAACAAAATACTTGCAATCAGATTAAAACACAGTATTGTCTAAGGGCTGTTAGTTTTCCCAAATTCAAAGAGTAATTGTGTCAAAACAGACCAAACAACCAACAGACAAACAGACAGGCAACTGCTTAAGTTAGGCTATTTTTCATTTCAGTTCACTCCAACAGATATTTATCGAGCACTACATGTCAGGTATGATGTAGGGCCCAGAGATATAAAGAGAAGATGTGGCATCTGCTATCAGAGAGTTAACAGCATAACAGGAAAAAGAGAGCACTTAAACAGATACTTAAGAGTTAGTGAAAGAATCCTAGCAATGAGAGAACCTACCAGGTGCAGAGATAGGGAAGAGGGAGTTATTCTAACTGCGGGTGGAGGAAGGAAGGTGAGTGGTATACAATGGAGGAAGCAGCCACTCAGCATGCTATTTAAATGTTGAAACAACTTCACAAGGGGGTTCTAGAGTGCTAGGGAGTTTGGGGGCCTCAAAGTAATGTCTCTGGAGTGTAGGTTTGAGGAACTAGGGGATGCTCAGCCTAGAGAAAGAAGGCAGACAGAAATGATACCAAGTTTTCCAAGGGAAAGGCTCTTTGCTGTATTTATTATGGGCTATATCCCCAGTGTGTAGCACAATGCGTTGTTCATGGCTGTCACACAATAAATGGATGAATGGATGAGCATTTTGATTGAATGAGTGAATGAAATATTGAAGCAATGCACTTATCCTACGTAGCTTCCAGAGTGGAAACAAAGATCCCATAACCGTGTTGCAAATACACTGCACAAAGACTAAGTTTAGCCTGCAAACTGCTTTGTTTCACCTGTAGACCTTATTTTTCTTTTCTTAATTTACCAACATTTTTAAAGTGGGTGCTTTCATATAAAAATTTCCAGTTTCTCTTGAAATATTAGAAGACCTAGCGACTCTGAGCATCCGTGGCTGCATGGAAACATTTGGGTGCCCATTTAGATGGCAAAAGTACTCAATTTGCCACAGTGCTTGCCAACTATTAGGAGGCAGACTTTAGGTCAAATAAAGAGGTAATATTTAAAACCAGAATAGGTATTCAGATAACCAGAAATGTCCATGCAGAAGTGTGATAACAGCCTACCTTAAACACCATCTAAAAAAACAGTCTCTCAGGTTCCACATCGCCCTCAACGTACCTCCATTATAGCATTTAATCAATTTTCT